TTGCTTCCTTGCTTTTTCTTGCACACAACACTTAATCTTCCTACTCCAAGCATTTTCACTGATGTTCCCAATACCTGAAACTCTCTCCTTCCTTATCTCCATCTCTTGGCTTCCCTAGTTATCTTCAAGTCTCAGGCAAAGTCTTGCTTTAAGCAAGAAGAGTTTCCTAGACTTACTTAATTCTAGTCCCTTTCCCCTGTGACTGTCCCCAATTTCTTCGATATATCTTGTTTACACATACCTGTTTGCATGTTGTCCTTAAGAATAGGGACTATTTTTTGGCTCTCTTTGTTTTCCCCAGTGCTCAGTGCAAGCCTAGCACATAGTAGGCCTTAATAAATGCTTACCAACTCACAAAATGACCCTATCAATCTATTTGTGCTTTAGCAAATCAGGTATGCAGAGTACAGCTGTAAATACTCCCTACCAAAGGCTCAAGGGTTACCTTAAGGTGTTGCTAAATCTCCATATCTATTGCCAATGATTATAAACCAATTAGCTTTAACAAGTGAATATTTGCTAAAAAGATACAGCAAGAACCAAAGTACAAAAATACCCCCTATGACTACAACACATTCTCTCTTCTAAACCACATCAACCTCTGAAAAGAGGTATCTCAGACTTTAAAAAGATTGCTACACATAGTTTGCCCAAAATTCACTTCTAAATGTTACATAGAAACTGCACAAGCTTCTCCTTTGCAGTAGGAAACCAAGGCATCTTGGCTACCAGGTTGATCCCCTGCTGGGCTAGGGTAAGAAGGCAAGTTGGTCTTTGGGCTAACAAATCTGGTATGGATTCGCATTCTGGACCATCAATCCTTCCACTTTTTGAAGTCTCTCAAGGTCCTATACCAAACGAAAAAAGACACAAACAGGATGCATCCCCAACTGGGACATACCCTTACCTAAGAGCCCATGTGTTCATGGATCAGACCAGTGGGAGGGGAAGGGCACCCCTTGAGTAGCCCTCCAGAAAGTGGAAAGTGATTTTTATACTTCACAGCAAGTTTCCCCATTAGGATCTTTTGTTTTGTTTTGTTTTGTTTTAATGAATTCTCAGTTCAGACTTAGTAGCCAAACAAAATTATTTTTTTGTCACCACACAGTAAGAAATCAGGAAACAGTCAGAGAACACCTGCATATGCTCTGATTTGATAAGTTGAGTCTCTTGATTCCTGTTATCATGGATTTTGGGAACCAGGGCTTCCTCAAGAATCCACATGTATCCCCTGTGCAAAATCCCAAGATTGAGCCTTCAATGGTTAGCCCCCTTTTACTTGTCTGCCTTTTTCTCCCCATTTTTATTGTTTCTAGACTCTTTACTAATTATAATCAGATGTTACTTGAAATCATTTTAAATAATTATTTACGATTATACCATTTTGTCATTTATTCAGGAGTCTCATGCTAAGAGATGTTCAGTAAATCCAACAGATAATGGCATTATATTATATATTGTGAACCACCTCATGGGAGAACAATCTTTCCTTTGCCATTCTTCGGTTTTCTGATATTTCATATTTTTCCCGTCAAAGGCACCATACTTTGTGGTTTTAAACTCTTGAAAAGAAAATGTGTTTGTTTATAAGTTCTAATAGTAAAATGTATTCATTTGTGTATCAAAGAACTTTTATAAATACTTTTGCTCTACATATTTTAGAACAATTTCCCTATATAAAGCATTAAGTATAACAATAAAACTGGTGCTAAATTGTACTATAGCAATTCTATATTATGATACTGACTTCCTATACATTTATTCAGGAGAAGAGTCTGACTACCTTCTTAAAGCAAGACAAATGATTTTTCAAGCTCAGGTTATGGAATAGAATACTGAGTTTGGGATTTGAAAGACGAGCAATAGAATTGTTTAAGAACCCACAACTCATTGCTGGTATTTTAGGCTGTCTGTGTCCACTATCTCCTAATGAGAGTAACAAAAGATTCTTCTATACTTTACAGTATAATTTCTTTAAAGCAATAATATCTCTGACACAATTTGATCACAAGACCTAAGTCATAAAAATGAAGAGAACTAGCTCAGGGATAGAAGAATTGAATTCTATCTGGTTTAAAATCAGCATTAGCAATATTAACCATTCATATACTTTTGTTGATTTCTAAAATGACTTTTTATTGATATCTTTTGTTACTTTCATAACATCATAGTTTCCCCCAGCCCCCAGTATTCTTCTTCTACTTCCTCTCAAAGGGCCATTGAAGGTAATAAATATATATATATATATATATATTTTTTTTAAAAAGCCAATCCAAAAAAAAAAGGAAAATTAGCGTAACTGATCAACACATAAAATGTCTGAAAAGATGTACAATGTACACTTGTAGATTTCCCACTCCTATAAAGCCATGATAATTCTTTATAATTTTGATTCACTTTTGATTTGGGTATGTGTGTGTGTGTGTGTGTGTGTGTTTGCTTTTCCCATTTCCATTGTTGTAATGATTATATATATATAAATATATATATATGTGTATATATATATATATATAGATATTGTTTTCTGGCTTTGCTTGCAACACTCTGCATCATATAATGAAAATCTTTCCATCTTTGTCTGTATATGTCATTTCCTATGACACAGTAATATCTCTTTACGTTCATGTACCACAATTTGTTTAGCCATTCTACAGTCTACAGACATCTATTTCTTTTCCAATTTTTGTTATTACAGAAAGTATTACTAGACATGTTTTGATTTATATGGGGATTTTCTTTTTATCAATGGCCTCCTTGGGAAGTAAACTTAGTATTGAGCTCTCTGGGTCAGAGGGTAATAAAAACATTTTAAACACTAGATTTCCATAATCCTTCAATAATTCACAGCTTTATCAATAATGCACTACTGTATCTGTCTTCCTTCATCCCTTCCAACACCGTCCAACTGAGACCTGAGAAAGACCTTAAGCTTTAAAAGGCCAAGGTCTCTCACTGCATCCAGGGCCATCTCTAGTCGTCCTGATCTTTATCCTGTCACTGGACCCAGATGGCTCCAGAGGAGAAAGTGAGGCTGGTGATTTTGCACTGCCCTCCAATTCACTTGCAAGTCATGGCATCACCTTCTTGATGTCATGGTCCTCTTAGAGAATGAAGGACAAACAATAACAACAACCCCACATCTTGAGATATTGTTATTTTTGGCAGTTTGCAAGGCAAAACCTCAGAGTGACTTAGATTTGTATTTTTCTTGTTATTAATGATTTAGAGCTGTCTTTCATATGGTTGTTACTAGTTTTCAATTCTTTTCAGAATCCTCTGTTCTTATTCTTTGACTACTTATTTTTTGGTAATTAATGATTATCATTATATGTCTTGTATAACAAACTTATCAGAGAAAACTGATACAAAGATTTTTCTCATTCAATTGCTTCCCTTCTTATCCTGGGTATGTTAGTTTTGTTTATACAGAAGCTCTTCAGTTAGCCATTTCCTAGCATAATTCCAAATTGCTTTCAGGGATGCTTTGCATAGCTTTTTAAAAAAGAAAACTCTTCTATCAAAATTTGTTCTAGTGTCATATGATCATACATGATCACATGATTCAAACCATTCTGAAACAGACTCATTGATTTAACTACTTGCCTCATTTAACTTCTATGGTCAAGTCATAATTTCTCTGTATTTCAGTTTTCTCATCTGTAAAATGAGGGTTCTTGGACTAGGCCCCAAAATCTAAATTAGTATTAAAGATGTCCCTGGTCCCTTAAGAGAAAAATTTAACTGAACCTATATTCCAGGTAAAACTTTTAATTGAGAAACATTAGAGCATGTAGAATTTGTGCATATTTAATTGGGTAATGGTAGATTCTGACCTAGAATTATACTTTTTCATTATATAAAGTAGGCAATAAAAAGCTTTGAGGATATGAGTATAGTGTAATGACTTATTTCACCCTGAGAAGCAAGCATTTAAAGCATTTAGACATTGTGGTAAATTCTCTCTCTCTCTCTCTCTCTCTCTCTCTCTCTCTCTCTCTCTCTCTTTTTCTTTAATGATTGGAAATAGAAAACTTGAACATTAAATAGAAACTTAAAGTGTAATTCTAGGGAAAGTCCTCAAGTTTGCATTGAAGACATAGTTATTAGGTTATTAGTAAGTCAACAATATTGCAGTTATTTTAAAAAGTGAATATGCAAAGGTGACATTGCATTCAATACATATATGTATGCATTATTCATTTTCATAGTAATTCCAGAGATCATCTTCATAACTAGGTCTAGTAGCAATATGTCCTAACTGCTGGACATATTAAGGCTATAAAACTGAAACTGATACAACAGTAGTTCTAAATTGCAAAGAGGAAAATCATTATACTTAAGTATAACTAGTTATCATTTCTCATTATACAAATGTTCTTTGAAGATTTACATATAGGGTCATAATACCCAATATCTATTGACCTCTAGGTCACAAATTGAAATCAACCGGATCTACAAGTTAATTTAAATGAAAATGTACCACTCAGGTAAAGGAAGAAAGAATCTCATCACCAAGTTGATTATTGCAAATTGGCAACTATGCATATTAGGAGTCCTTACACTAGCATTTCCTACACTACATCAGCATATTACAACTGTGATTAAAACACATTTTAAAAGACTTTAATGTGAACTCTTCAACTTTTTACAAAAAACAAGGATATATTCAAACATTCATACTGGTACTTCTTAATTTCAGGGAATGTAGAGAGAAAATATTTAACAAATGCATTTTTTTTCTTTTCTTTGCACACTAGTGAAATTGTAACAGACCTAGTGGTCATAAGGTCTGACTAACTAAAAGAAATTAAAGGTCAGGAAAGAAAAAAAAGGAAGGGAAAAAAGAAATCTAAGCAAGGCCAGATTATTGCTCTTTTTAGCAATGAAATATCACATAAATAGGATTGCCACCTTAATTATATTATATTTTAAATTCAAGTAGTGAATTTTCAAAAGCATTTAAGAGAATACTGAAACAATTTAACATCCCATAAGCTTACCATTCAGATTTCACCCTCTCTCATACGGTTAGAGGGAAAGAAACTGCAGCAAATTATCTGTTATCCCCCTTCCATTGGAACGACTGTATGTAACACATACAAGTACTTGTTTATTTTTGTCTAAAAAAAACATCCAAAAATCAGATTATGGAACTTCCTGGGGCTAATTCTGGGCAAATTCTTGAAACTCTAAGAGTCAGGGAATTCTGTTCTGGACCTTTGCCAGTGCATTTTCCGGTAGGAATTCAAGTCCATTGTCTCCCATCTTTATATCCTATTCTTACTGGTCACCATTATCAATTGAATTGGTGCCAGCTGAGATATTCAGAGCCTCATGAATACCATTATGACCTCAGAGAAATTTTTCAAAATGTTCCAGGAGTAACTAGTGAACTTTCTTTGACCTTCTACTTCTAAGTTTCATTAAAGATGGGAAAGCTGAGAGGCAACATGGAAAAAAGCATTGAACTGAGATAGACAATAAACTTGAATTCCACTACCAGCTCTGCCACTAATTAAGCGTGTGACCTTCACTTCTTTGGGGTTCAATTACCTTGTCTTCAAAGTGAGACAACTGGCCTACATATTCTATCATATCTCTTCCAGCTCCAGAAAATCTATAAATCGATTAAAAAAGAAACCATCTTGAATTAGTGATTGAACAAAATATCCTACAAACTTTGAGAAGATTTTAGTATTTGAAATTCATTATTAAATGAAACTTTCTTTTTTAAATTTTAAATTTCCCCTCCCCCCCAACTAAGAATTACTTTGGATGAACCCTAATTTCAGCAATATGCCTCTCTTCCCCAAGTCAGGGAAAGGATTTCAAACTGGTAAGCAATTCTGAGAAATGTTCTTGACAATATTTTTTCCTTTTTTTTTTCCTTCTCCCAATGTAAATATGTTGTAAATATCCAGCATTCTCTTGCTTAAATTGGTTTGTATTTATTTATCTTTGTATACGTTGTAGTCTTGCAGTAGAATGTAAACTGTTTGAGGACAATGATTGACTGTTCTCTTTTTTGGCCTTTGATTTCCTAGAATCTATCAGGATGTCAATACACAACAAATGTTTATAAATTGAATTAAATTGATCATTCTTTTGTCAATCTTATTTTCCTTTCATAGTAAAATAGTTTTATTATCCTGAAGAGATGGGAAAAATTAGGTGATTCTGAGCCAGATTATCATAAAATCAGAGCATAATAATAATAACAACATTATTATTCTGTATTGTTGTATAATAATAAAATAATAAAATCTAACATTCATAGAATACTTTAAGATTTGCAAATACTATCTCATTTTATCTTCACAGCAGCCTGGGAGTTAGGTGCTATTAATATCCTCTTTTTTTTCCTTCTCTTTTCCCTTTTTTTTAAAATTAATTTATTTTGAATTATCAGCAATCACTTCCATAAGCTTTTGAGTTTTAAATTTTTCTCTCTCTCCCTCCCCAAGATGGTGGGCAATCTGATATAGGCTATACCTATACATTCTTATTAAACATATTTTCACATTAGTGATGTTGTAAGTAATAATTAGCACCAAGAGGAGGAACAACCAGAAAGAGGAAACAAAATGCAACAGAAGAAAAAAAATAGCAAATAGCATGCTTCAATCTGCATTCAAACTCCATGGAGAAAGAACTTGAACAAGCCATTGATGAACTCCCTAGGAAAAATCTCTAGGGCCAGATGGATTTACAATTGAATTCTATGAAACATTTAAAGAACAATTAATTCCAATACTATATAGACTATTTGGGAAAATTCTTTTTATGATACAAATGTGGTGCTGATACCTAAACCAGGAAGAGTTAAAACAGAGAAAGAAAATTATAGACCAATTTCCCTAATGAATATAGATGCAAAAATTTTAATCAAAATATTAGCAAATAGATTACACCAACTTATCACAAGAGTACTAAACTATGACCAGGTAGGTTTTATACCAAGAATGCAGGACTGGTTCAATATTAGGAAAACTATCAGCATGATTGACCATATTAACACCAAAACTAACAGCAACCACATGATCATCTCCATAGATGCAGAAAAAGCTTTTGACAAAGTGCAACACCCATTCCTATTAAACACACTAGAAAGCATAGGAATAAATGGAGTCTTCCTTAAAATAATAAATAGCATCTACTTAAAACCTTCAG